TCTCAATTTCATAAACCTTCAGCTGTTCAGATTAACGAATGTGGTTCATGAAAAGGATTACTGACTATAGCCAAAACTTTTTAAAACTTTAAACATCTTTTTACATTTTGCTATGAATTACTAACTTGTTTTAAGAGGCCAGAGCCAGCTTTTAAGAATGGAATACTTTTTAAAAGTAATTATTTTTGTAGCTGAGCAGTGGTGGTGCATGCATTTAATCCCAGCACTGGGGAGGCAGAGGCAGGGGCAGGGGCAGGGGCAGGGGCAGGGGCAGGGGCAGGGGCAGGGGCAGAGGCAGGTAGATCTCTGTGAGTTGGAGGCCAGACTGGTTTACAGAGGGAGTTCCAGAACAGACAAGGCTGTACAAAGAAACCCATTATTGTAAAACAAAACAAAACAAAACAAAACAAAAAACCCAAAAGCTATTTCCTACATGTTTAAATTATGCTGCTATTGTAGGGGCTGGAGAGGTGTCTCGGTGGTTAGGATCACTTGCTGCTCCTCCAGAGGACCCCTTTTGGGTCCCCAACACCCGTATAGGTGACACACATCCGCCTGTACCAGCAGCTTCAGGGGATCCAGCACCCTCTTTTGGCTTCTGTGGTCACTCATACCTGATGCATACACATAGAGACATTAAATAAATTTGAATATATGTTACTTTATATCCACATGTAAATAAAGTATTTAATATATAGTTTTATACAGGCATAAAGTGTTTAATATATATTTAATTTTATAAATGATATACATTGTATATGTGTATCACATGGTTATTTTTCTGCCAGCCCTCGGTTCTTTGGAATCACTAATACATCTAAATTTTTCTTTCTTTTTTTTTTTTTTTTGCTTCTTTCTTTTTTTTTTGTTTTTGTTTTTTCAAAACAGGGTTTATCTGTGTAGCCCTGGCTGTCCTGGAACTCACTCTGTAGACCAGGATGGCATCGAACTCAGAAATCCGCCTACCTCTGCCTCCCAAGTGCTGGGATTAAAGGCGTGCGCCACCACTGCCCGGCTAAATTTTTCTTAATGAAAGGCTCCATGGTGTTACCACATTGTTAGGAAATTAGCTCCCAAACCCAAAGATGCTGAGGTCCCTTATAAGAAACATGTAGTATTTAGATTAGTCTAGGTCTACCCTCCCATAGGCTTTGAGCCATCTCCAGATGATCTGTACTGTCTCACACAGCTCAAATGCTGTGTAAATAAAAATGTTACCTTTAAGAAGCAAAGACAAGAACAACATGTTATTCATACAAATTCTGTGCTGCTGCAAGCACAGAATATTTTTGTGCGTAAGCATGTGTGTGATATGTGCACATGTGTGTGCAGGAGTGCACATCCCTGTATGACTTCAGAGGCCAGAGGAAGACATCATGTATCCTGCTGTCTCTTTCCACCTCACTCCTTTGAGACAGGGTTTCTAACAGAACCTAGAGATAGGCTGGCTCCCTTGAGCCTCAGTGACCCCCTGCCTCCACCTTGTGTTTTAGATCTGTTCCCCTCATAATTATTCTTGGGAGTAAAGAACTCGGACACATAGTAGGTACATGCCTGAGACGGAAAGCAAGTAAAATATATTTCTTGTTGCTACAATACTGGGCTTCACACATGCTAAGCACACGTTCTGTGATGCAATTACATCTATAGTCCTGGAAAACAGACTTTTAAGAGTCCCCGAAGAATTTGGGCGAAGGAACTGAAATAGGAATGAGCAGACGGTAAAAGCAACCCAAAAGAGCAGAGACTTTTAGCTTTAAGCTGTGCATCTTTGTTAATTGCTACGAAAGCCATGAGCTGTCTACTGAACAGCTTCAGTTTTTAAAATAATGTGTATATGGGAATGGAGTTATGTGCAGATTAGTACAGGGACCCATGGAAACCAGAGGCATTGGATGGCTTAAAACTGGAGTTACTGGTGGGTCTGAGTTTCCTGACATGCGTACTGGGAACTGAACCCAGGTCCTCTGCAAGAGCACCAAGCGCTTTGAACCACTGAGCCACCCCTCCAGCCCCATCATCATGTCGTTTTTAGGAACTGAGGAAAGATAGCCTCAGTTATAACCACAAACAGAGAATACCTTAGACACACTTGACTTTGTGCTGTTCCCTAAAGGTGGTTGGTTGGTGATGTCTGGAGAAAGAAATCAGAGGAGTCAAGTGACTAGGTGATTTTCATCATTCTGATATCTGTTATCCTCTCTGTTTAAAAATATTCAGTGAGGCACTAAAGAATAAGAAATATTTGCAGATGTGTGTTAGCACCAGGCTAAGCAAGATTCAGAAACAAATTGGGAAAAGCCTATTCAATATATAAAATGCACCGTGTCTTCACAGATTAAATTAGGATCATGCAAAAAAGATCCGTTTATTAGATTTATTGAATTATGGAGATGCTTAAGATACAGTGGTCATTATGATAAAAGTATCCGATTATCTATTTATAATTATTTATTTATAATTATTTATAATCACAATTAGTGATTTGTAATTACTATGGGTTTCCTTCAAGCCAGAACTTAACATCCTCACTCTGTTAGCTGCCTGAGAAAATAAATAAATAAATAAATAAATAAATAAATAGTTTAATTTGTGCACACTGGTAGAGAGCTTGCCTAGAAAGCACAAGGTACAAGGTCCTGTCTCCACCACTAGACAATAAAGTCACAAAAAATAAAATAAAATAAAAAAGTTAAAGAGGGTGTTATTTAATTTTTTACCTCTTGGTATAAAGAGAAAAGTCAGACTTAACATCAGAACTGAGGATGATTGTTGTTTAAATCTACCGAACTAAATTTTCTTTGGCTGACTGCCATTCATGGCAGACAGTTTAAATATTTCAAATGGATAGTCCACTCTGTGTGTGTGTGTGTGTGTGTGTGTGTGTGTGTGTGTGTGATTTAATTTCAGCTTTGAAGAATTAAAAATATTTTTGTTCACTACTCCCTAAAAATTTAATGAGAGCAAATTCAAGATGTTGTCACTTCCCCCTTCAGAAAATGTATTGAGTGAGTGAGTTTCCTGTCTGTCTGTATTCCCTTTGAGGAGAAATGACTTGGGGAGGAAGGAGATTATATGCAGTGCACTATGAATCCCTGTATCCCTCTCTCTTGCATCCTTTAATGTTTAGAGAATCAAGACATCTTAGAGACCTCAGGAATAGGATAGAACTTTTGATGATGTGTTAATCATTTCTTTTTTACTAAGTTCATTTTTTAATTTTACATATGTACATATTTACATCATTCCCCCTTCCTCTCCTCCCTCCAACCTTCCCCATGCTCCCTCCCCAAAACATGGCTTCTTTTTCTTTTATTAGATTTATTTATGTGTATGCGTGTTTTGCCGTGTCAGCGTGTGCACCGTGTGCGTTCCTCGTGCCCGTGGAGTTCAGAAGGCAGCGTCAGACCTTTGGAACAGGAATTGTGAGCTTCCATGTGGATACTGGGTCCTCCACAAGTGCTCCTAACGTGGAGTCATCTCTCCGCTCTGCCTCTGCTGAGCCAGATCTCAGCGATTAGCTTTTCTTCAATTATTACTGTGGCTAATCATTTCAGTCTTGGGAAACATCTAATTTTACTTTAAAATGCATTTTAATGTGAAAAGCCTTTTCACAAAACTTGCTATTGTGGAAAATACTTCCCAACAAACACCAATAAAAATCTGAATTCCACCTTGGCTCTTTTCACTTGGTTTCAGTGCCTCTGAGAGAAGACAGACAGACAGACAGACAGACAGACACACACACACACACACACACACACACACAAATACAGAGAGAGACAGACAGACACAGAAATCAATTACTTCATCTTTTGATTCAGGCTGTATGCATCTAGACAGCATAGAGGTAGAAGTGTGTGTGTGTGTGTGTGTGTGTGTGTGTGTGTTTGCCTGTGTGTCACTGCGTGCATAAAAGGGCATGCATGCACACAGATTGCTGCCGGACACGGCCCTAGGGCATGGCTAAGGAGAATATTAAAGACTTGAGATTTCTTCGCCAAGAAAAGAATGCAGGTCTTTACAACATAAATAGAGCAAGGGAAGGGGGAACAGAGGACAAAAAGCTTAAAAATCTGGAAGCAGAACAGAAAGCTGTGGCCAGGGCAAGCAGGAAGCTGGTTTTGCTCAGACCACCAAACCCTGTGAACTTTTTAGCGGGAAGCAAGGCAGCGCCCGACAAACACAACATTTATCTGTGATCTGCAGAATGGCGGACGCCATCGCGGCTGAGATTGAAGCTTGTTTTCTAAACCTCTGGCTCTCCAGCCAGGCTTCCTGAATTTCTGGAGAAGTCATCTGCAGGTGGAGCACAGGATGGAAGGGTGGGTCGGGACGATCCAGGCTTCCCGGCACTGCTGCCTGAGCGCACACGCCCACAACCGGTTCCTTCCTGGTCACGGCTGGTGATCTCTCTCCTGTCCCTTCTAGCCAATTTCAAATTGGCCGCCAGCCAAATATGAATCCAGAAGGATGTGTACGAGTGTGCAGCTCGAATCACAAAGATAAAAGTGTAAAAATACTTCCCCCAAACTGGTTTAAAAACAAATCTCTAAATGTTGTGGGAAATGGGACTCGCAGTCTGCGTCGGTTTTCAATCTTACACGGTTTGTGTTGGCTTTATAGCTGGACACCAATAAAACAGAAATTTCACACTTGATACCACTTTTACTGTCTGTCATCCTCAAGAGCCTGTGTGTCACATCTCCCCTAGTCTCCAGCCCCTAACGATTTATTCTGGACACCGCCCCCCAACCCCACCCCTGTGCTATTAACAGTAGAGGGAGGAGCTACTTAGTAATTCTACACCTGTTCAGTTCCCCGCCCACCAACTTGTTAAGCTTCCCAAACAAGTGTAAGACCAAGCATGAGAACTTCCAGTCTGGAGCTGGGGCAGGAGGTGGTTCTGGTCGCCACTGGGATTGGCTTTGACGAGTTTTGTTCAGAGTCTCCAATGAATCTGCTACAATGGCCGTTGATGACAGCAATTTATATTCCAGAACAAAGAACAAGTTAAATTCATCTCAAAATGAATTAAAATCATTGAGACGGAGCAGCCTGCCACTTGAACTTCCCATCGGAAATCACGTTAAAGGAAAACTTCAAAGAAACATCAAAAACCTGGAACCTTTTCACCTGAGGCGTCCCAAAAAGAGACCGTCCATATTCCCAGGTAGGAATTGTTTGAATTCGTGCTTTCCTGTTAAAATGAAACAAACAAACAAAGCAACGTATGCAATCAAATTGTAAATAACGTGGGTACTTTTTGACGACTGGAACTGCGGCTTTTTAAGCGTGACCTTAAGGAGTCTCCCAATTACGTCCTTGAAGAGTTAGAACTGTCTTTGCATTTCAAAGCGCTGTGTGTCTTTTTCCTTTTATATGATTGGTTGTGAGTCCTTTCAGGCTCTGTTGTTGATAGGCAGCTGGGCAGTTGTGGATTGTTAGCATCCACGGGTTTGTGGAACTGCTTTGCTTGCAAGCCTACGAATTCTGTGTAGCTTTGCATGCCCAAGGTTGGATTGCTGAGTGAAGCTGACGGTTTTGTTTTTTAATGTGCACCAGAAATCAACAGCAGTAAGTTCTCCAGTGCGTGCTTCAAATTCCAACCCTGCATCAGAGCCTGAGACCATTTGTAGTCATCGGCTCAAATCAACAATGTGGCCGGGCTGTGGGGGTGGGGTAGGGGTGGGGTGTGTCTTAAATGACAGGAGAAACTTGAATCTCAATCTCGAGAAGGGTCTGTGACATTGCCTTAAGGAATTTATTATGGATACAGTTAGAGAGCAGAAGCCACCTGCCGCGGGAACCCTAACTGTTCACCCATCTGTGCTAAGTGACCTCTGCGGTTTGAATTATTTAAATGACTTGATTTCAATGCCATTTACTTGGAATTTCTAGGAAACACTGGATACGGCCTTTTTGGTTGTGGTTTGCTGTTGTATTGCAGTTTTTAAAATGTAGAATAGATTTATGACAACGCTGAAGGCTGCCTCTGTTGTGTTAGAAAATGAGAAACAATACACTCCAATATTATTTCGTAAAAATAATATTGAGTTCCCCAGTCACTGACTCTTTATATTTCTTTAGGGAATTAAGTAGAAAATAATTTGGGGACCTAGGGGCACCAGGTCACAAACTAAAGTTACGGTTCTTTCATTTTTATTTTATACGTTTACAAGAGGCCCTGGGACTGGAGTTACACATAGTTGAGAGACACTATGTAGGTGCTGGGAATCAAATCCAAATCCTCTGAAAGAACAAGTGGCCTTAACCACTGAGCCCCACCACACACACACACACACACACACACACACACACACACACCAAAGAGATCCGGTTTTTTGCAGAGCTGTTGCTGTATTGAGTTTCTTGTTATTTCTCTGTTCTTGTGCCCTTTCGGTGGGGAGAGGAGTGAGACCAAGGTTAGAATCGTCCAGAGGATGGGAGCTTTGAATGTTTGGGGGAAGGAGAGAGGGGATGAGAAGGCAGCTACTGGGAGGGATAGCTTTTGGATGTCTGAGGTAAAGCCATCTTTGGACCGGGAATGTCTGCGACTGTAATGTGGTAGTTTGAATAAGAATGGCCCCACAAGTTCAGGTATTTGAATGCTTAAGGAATGGCCCCATTTGAAAGGATTAGGAGGTGTGGCCTTGTTGGAGGAAAGGTGTCACTGGGAGTGGGCTTTGATGTTTCTAGCACCCATGCCAGGCCCAGTGGCTCTTCTCTCCTCCTGCCTTTGGATCAGATGCAAAGCTCTCAGCTCCTTCTTCAGCATCATGTTTCCCTGCGTGCCACCATGCTCCTCACCGTGATGAAAATGGCCTAAACCTTGGAACCGTAAGGCAACCCCAATTAAGTGATTTCCTTTATAAGATTTCTGTGATCGTGGTGTCTGTTCACAGCAATAGAACAGTGATTAAGATGGGTACCAAACACTCAAACCTGACTAAAATTCCTGAAATCCCCAGGAGGCAGGAATCTCTTTCATCACTTTCAGATGGGCTGTCTGTGTATGTGTGTGTGTGTGTGTGTGTGTGTGTGTGTGTGTATGCGTGAGTGTGTGCATGTGTGTATGTG